GCTGATTTACCTTTTACCATGATTCTATACATTAGGTAATTAAGCCGTCCTTACATTTCATACATGGCTTCAAAATTCTCAGGCGTTGCTTTTACTACAGGGCAGCAGCATCCTTTTCCTTGAGCCTCAGTGTTGTTTCATTTGATAGTTGTCCTCTGGGCTAAAACTGCAGTTAAGTTTTATTTAAAAGACTTCCTAAGATTTCAATCATCACACTTTATATTCTTTTCAGAATTAGGGTATTAACTAGGGCTTGAGCCTTAAGGCATGAAGTTTTAATATTTCTCTCCCGATTAAATGCTCAAAAGTCCATTTTATAATATTAGGTCACCCAAATATGCTTTGGAAACAAGTATCTCATGTGGATTTAAAAAAATTTTATTTCCTCCCCTAGAAACCTATACACCCAACAACGGGAATTATTGCCATCACCTTGGCATTTCACATATGTCACGAAGTTCACCTTGCTGGTTTTAAATACAACTTTTCTGACTTCAAGAGTCCTTTGCACTACTATGGGAATGCCACCATGTCTTTGATGAGTAAGGTAATATATGTATATGTATACTTTGAGATATTTGCAGTTTGATATTCTCTTTTCACCTGTCATTTTATTGAGGGAAGAGCTTTTGAGAGGTTGAGGGCTTGATTGGGGTTATAGAGCTACCGAGTGCTGAAATGAGGACTAGAGTCCAGAGGTCTTTTTTACTACAGCAGCAATTCTCAAATCTGTGGGCTTCAGAACCTTTGGAGAATCTGTTATTGTCGAGTGTCATCAAACTCAAATAAGGACCAAGCTTTATCTTAGATACTGTATCATATTTGCATTACTTAAATATACATTTAGAAAAAAATATGTATTTATTACAAATTCACCTAAAAGCATTGCCATGCTCATAGTAATTGTTAAGTAGACAAGAAGGTCTGTAACATTTTAACCCCATGAAAGAAACTTCATGGTCAGAAAGGTTGTAAACCTTTAAACTAGATCATGCTTCTCTTGAATTACGGATTGATGTTAGATTAGATCCTTAAGATTTTTATTTTAATTGAATGGGAAGGAGTTTTCTATTTTCCTAATTCTAACGTAGATTAGTGGCACATAAGTGACAGGATTAAAATGTTATCTGTACATTTTTAATATTGAAATATGAAGGATTTGCTATAAAGTGTTATCAGCATATCCCATGAAATCAGTATCCTTAAGTCATCATCCCCAAATGCTATGTAAGCTGAAGAAGTGTTTTTAGGTTAGACCTTAATACTGTTTTTTGGTGTCTTTCCCCACAATGTAAGACACACAGTAGAGTAGCTCAAGTTAGTGCCTGGGACAGACTTCAGGCTCATTTCTCCACAGCCTCTTCTTTTTTGTAGCACATTTGGTATTTCTCAAGTCATCTAAAGAACAAAACATAAAAACACCTTCCTGAGGAAAATTAGGATATCCATCAACAGAACAGGATTTTTTGAAAACACATCTTAAACTGAACTATGCTCTATAGAAATCATCTCCAGGCTGATTTCTTCAGGAGTTTCAGGCATTGCTTTTAGTTCAAGTGATCAAGCAACCCATTTGGATTTACAATCTTGGTCTCTAGATTTCCACTGTGATTCAAGTAGACCAGGGGATGATGTGAAGGGAGCCTCTTAAGTGATCATTTAAGTTCAAAGAGTGGGCTTTACGTAAAACTCTGACACAGGAATGAGTAAAGACAAAGAAATTAGGTAATGAAAATTAAGTCCATGCCACTTGCTACCTGAGGTTTTTATTCAGGAGCTTTTTAGATACAGCATATTCTGTTGCTGCTGCTAATATTTTGCGATTGGGATAATATGGTGATTTTATTTTTCTTTTTTAGAATGCATATCACAATGTGACTGCAGAGCAGCTCTTTTTGAAGGACATTATAGAAAAAAATTTTGTAATCAACTTGACTCAAGATTAATGCTACAGACTCAGAAGATGATATTAACAGTATTTTTATTTTTATATTGTAATTTTTAGTTTATTTTTATGTACTTGTCAAGAAATTATTATTTCTGTCTGGTGATTCATAACCACCAGCTTAATGTCTATGAATATATTTATGAAAACAAAGATATATTTAGTTAAGATTATCAGGGAAAAAGTAGTTTTAATTGCATTGTTTTTAAAATAAGCTTATTTTCTGAGGTGTTTTTAAACATCTTTTTAGTTATTTCATATTGGCTTTTGAAGAGATGTGACTTCCTCATGAATAAGGGGATTTAAGTTCACTGCCACAAACTTGAGTACACATGACACTGTGCAGAGTGTATCTGGCTATTATAAATTGGTGGGGAATTGGCAGGTGGGTGTGCCTTGATGTGGCAAAATGGAAGTACTTCAGGCCTCTATCTGAATGACTGTTTGGTTTCTTTTTGTCGTTTGAGGAAACTGATTTCAATTTAAAACAGCAGCGTGGATGATTATGGACATCTAAGATCATACTGTTTTAATTAGCCTTTTTCCTCTGCAATTAAGTAATCCATGATCATGATGAGTAATTAGGTAGAATGAAGATGGTTTTATTTCAGTTGAAGGAAATATAAGCTAAAGAATGCAATGATGAAAATTTAGTGACTGTGTTTTAAAGAAATAAAAGTTTATAAAAAGCTGCGTTAGGCAAGCTCAAGGAGAAAATTCTTAAAAAAACGTTACTTTGCCTGGTTTAATTCATTAAACTTAAAAGTGTACTATTTGCAGTAAATTAGGAAAAATAAAGACAAGTAGACCCTATGAAGAGTCAAGCTATTTTTGGATTTAAATGGCATTTTCATGAAAAATCTCATCTTCAAATGGAAAGCTTACCTGGCTACCTAGGGTGCACCAGAGAGGAATCCTACAGGATGCAAACAAGCCAGTCCCACAAATATGGCGAGCTAGTCTCCTTTCCCATTTTGATATCTATAACTAAAGGCTCTGGTGAGGTGGGGCGGGGATAAGGGGTAAAGGAGAATGGAAGAGAACATAAATTATAATAATGGAATTAAAAGCTGTCAGAAGAGGTATGAGTTGAAAGGATATCTTCTGAACAATAATTATCACTGGGAGACACTGATGGTGTTATGACAGCCAACCTGCTGCTCTAGAGTGAATAAAGGGTGAAATAAGTATTAGAGCAGAAACGAATAAATGAAGTACTTAGAAAACCGGTAGTTGATTTAACCCAGATCTAAACATTAAATATGGTCTATGTTCTGTTAATAGCATACATTTGCACAATACCACATACCAGCTTCATTTGGTTCTTCTAATAACTTTGAGGTGGAAAAGGCAGATATTAGACTGGAGTCCATGTGTCCAGCGTGCCCTTTCCCTCTTACCGCACAGCCCTAGGCTGGGTGCACCTTGACCATTGAAGTTCAGTTTGATATAAAGTAATTCTGGCTTCAAAAAGGCTGCTGCTGACTACAGAAAAAGTCAAAGTCAAAAATCAATGATGGCATTTTCAAATATTACTGTGAAATTACTGTACTATAATAATGGCCATAAAATTTCGGACTGATGTTAAAATTGAGGAATCTGGCATTTTGTGTAGTATAAAACAAGGCTACAAACCTTAAGGTTGTTTTAGTTAAGCCAAAAAAATCTAAGACACATATATACAATTTATTAAAAACACATGAACACAGTAAAATCTATTTATACAATCTAAATTCTAGCAACATATACAAATACTGAGTGACTACAGTACATGCCGAGGTAAGAAAAGTACATTCTGAGAGAATATCACTGACACTCAAGCCGTTTTTATTTCCAATATGCATTTCAATACATGTTTTGTTTAAACCTTTCCCAGTGCCAAA